ACTCCAGGATCATGACCTGAGCCGAAGGCAGTCGCTTAACCAACTGAGCCACCCAGGCACCCTCAAGTGTATTTTTGACATTAAGAACTAAGTGTACTGTACTGACTCCATTCCATTCAGTACAGACACTGACCCCCTACCATGTTGCAGGTGCTGGGTGAAGCACTGTGGATTCATCAATGAGCCATGAAGAATACCCCAATCATAATAGAACATACAGTCTCATGAGGTTACAAATATCTCATTTTCAAGTTCTAGAATCTGAATTTTAGAGCTGCAGGGCATTTCCAGATGGCCTATAGTCTGATCCATTCATTAAACAGATGACGAAATGGAGAGGCCCAAAGTGAAGAAAGTCTCTCCCCCAGAGTCAGAAACTCTAATCACAGTGGCATCTGTATCCTCTGCTCCCTGCCCACTCTTCTTTCCATTTTATTGCTTTGAAGCTTTTCATATTATTCTGCACACACCAAGTCCTTCCGAGTCCTTTTTGTTGTTATTTATTACGTGCTCACAATTTCTTAGATGTCTGTGGTTGGATTTTGATGCTAACATTGATCTTCCAATTCTTTAACCTAATTTTTTTTCACTGCTTGCTTCTTCTCTTTACCTGACCACATACCTGGCAGATGTATCTGTCTTGAGTTAAATAGGCAATCCGGGGTGCCATGGATCTTTTGAAGACCTGGGAAAGGAGAGCAGTCTGCAGTGACCCTACTGAGACTTCCAAACAAAATCACTGGCCCCTCACTCCTTAAAAGATAGTTGGGCTTGTCCAAGGGCAAAGAGTGGCAGACACAGAGCTTGCTTTTCAGACACCCCTAGACTGGAAAACAACCTTTGGGGGTAAAAATGAGGACATAAAATTGCTCGCTGTGGTACCTTTCATTCTGTTAAGGACACTGAAAACACAGTCTGTCATCCTTGACATTTTAATTGAAAGAAAAGCTTACATAGATTTCAGCCGTAAGCAGTATGTTTATACAAGTGTATAAAGAGGAATAATCTGTCAAGTTGGAAAACTCTTAATGCTACGGGACTCAGTTTAGTAATTGAACAATCCAACATGAGCTCACACATCTTACCTTGTTCCATGCCTCAATAATTTTTAGTAGAAATACTTTACCTAGAGGCATATGGTTATTAAAAAGGAGGCTCGGCTTGCTCAAAGTCTGGAATTATTAGCTCATGGCAACAAGCCTGCACTGGAGAAAGACTGTTGGGTCTTTGTTTTCACAACTTTGCTGTAATTTGCCATCTTATTTTCAGAGTCTAACTGATGTGTTGTTTGGGAAGTTTTTGGTATTTTTTTTAAAGGAAGAAAACATATTTCACATGGATGAGAGACTTCTCGTGTTAGCAGTACTGCAGAATTTTACTGCTTCATTGCCAAGTCCAGGGAGTAGTGTGGATATCAAAGGAAATAGACCGTGAATTTATTTTAGTATAAAAAATCAATAATAACTTAGTGATGGGAGCCATCAAGGTATGATGGGGGAAGCCCTGTGTTGCAAGTTGAATATGAGCCCCGCTTCTTTTCATGACCCAGATGACCTTGGGCACATTTAAATGTTTCTGAATTCAGCTTACTCTGAGTAAAATGGGGGTAATCTGACCTACCCAACACATGGCATTGTTTCAAGTCACATGAAGGTGAAATATTTTGAAAAATATGAAACTGTATAAGCGTAATATAAAAAGTTTCAAGCAAGTGCAGTGTGTTAATAATTATTTCTCTATACAAAGGGAATTAGATAATTAATGTAATTATTCCGATACCACTCTTGCTTCAATGATCAGAATATTCTGGACAAATGATTATTTATTGGGCCAAGCTACATAATTATTTCAATCTAACCCTTTGTATACCCAGCGATGAGTAGGAGTAGATTTTTTTTTTTCAGTTTTTGTAGTTTTAAAAGCCCGAACAAGAAGCATAGAAAACGCCTCAGTTTTGTTCCCAGCATGGGTTGGGAAAATTATTTATAGAAGCTGTATAGGGGTGCCTGGGTGGCTCTGTCTGTTAAGTGTCCAACTCTTGATTTTGGCTCAGGTCATGATCTCAGGGTTCTTGGATCAAGCCCCGTGTCAGGCTCCACACTGGGTGTGGGGCCTGCTTAAGATTCTCTCTCCCTCTGCCCCTCCCTCCTGCATGTGCACATGCGTGCGTGTGTGTGCACGCACTCTCTCTCTCTCAAAGAAATAAATAAAATGTGGATTCTGTGTAAAACAATAATGCAAAGTTACTCAGAATCCAAACATGCAGAGTTCTCAAATAGCCATCTCTCTTTCAAGTATATATTGTTAATTGGTTTGATTGCTATTATTAGGCAATTATTATAATTCCAAGGGAACTCAGTACCCTGAAAAGCTTTCTTAATTAATGAAGGAATGCTTTATATTTAAATATCCGGTACATCCATGCATGGTGTGGAAGTAACTGACCTAATAAGAACATTGATTAAATGAAGCATACCATTCCCTAGCGACTCTATCCAGCTGGGAGTTTTCCCTAGTTGTATGAAGAATGAAAACTCATTTTAAATTTGATTACTTTTGCATCTCCATTCACCTAAGCATTGTTTAACTGATTTCTTTTCTAAAAACGACTCATCAATAGAAACTGATCACCAAGATTATCATTAATATGTCATGTTGGAAACAAAATGTAAATGATGATAATATGCTGCCCTTTCTTTATGAGGATGATATGGCCAATCATCATTATAAAATGTTTTCAGTTGTCTTTTTTCACTTGTCCCTATTATACCCAAAGAATTCCTCCTGGTGACTAGGTGAAAAGACATACGGTAGAAGGTTGTATGTATGTATGTTTACATGTATCTATATGTATGCGTGGATGTATGGATGTATGTGTGTGCATGTCTCTGTCTGGATATCTGTAGATGGGTGGATGGATGGATGATTAACAACTATCTGTAGTGATGGTCTCAGTGAATCTTTCTCCTTATAAAACAGGGCAGTTCAGATTACTAACCTTGCACTTGGAGGAACTGACCATTATTAAAGATGACATACTTTGATATACAGCTATTTTCTTCCCAGCAAAGGTCACAAACAAAACATTAAGACTGGAGAATATAAAGCAAACCTTGTCTGTTGACAGAGCCACATTTATACCTATCTGACTGGAGCTCTCCACCTCTGAAGGAGGTAGGCTTTAAGACCCAGTGAAGTGCAACCTACTGTAGAATTTTGGAGCAGCAGGGAACTAGCAGTTTCCTAGAACTGTAAAAGGTGAAGGACCTTCAGAGACCCTACTAATCCGATTGTTAATCTATACTCCAGAGGGCCTCAGGGCACAGGTCAAGAAATACCCATAACACGCATTTGCTTTTCTGAAAACACTTTTTATTGTTACAGGCTACTTCTGTTGGCCTCTCCATGTAACTATTCATATACACATTCTCTTCATAAGGCTGGATGTCATTTGTGTATATCTACATGGAGTCTGGGTAAAATTTTTATATTCTTTTATATTTTCATTTATATAACTTCCTGAACATATAAATATTGACTAATTTATGATTAATCCTTATAAGATTCATGTGCCTGCGATAGCAAGCTCTGCCCAAAGGAGCTGTTAGACAAAAAGGGTAGAAAACCTAATCTTTGAGATTTCAACAACAATGCAAAAGAGCATGTTGGCATTGTTCTCCCTGTTTCAATCCCCACTTTCTCAAGTCAGTCACGGGAGGCACACAGGCTCCAAAGAAGAGGCTTCTCATGCTACTCTGGATGGGACTATCCTTCCCCAAAGCATAGAAAGGCATTGGACCACACAGGACATCTCTGTCTGCAGTCATTACCCAGCACTTAGCATGAAGGAATCTCTCTCTCTCTCTTCTTTTTTTTTTAAAGAAAATGCATTAATTCTGGAAGCAGTAACTTCATTTATGGCATTCAGGATAAGGTAGTTTAACATGGAAGACTCAGAGGTCCCGGGGTGGGGGAGGATGTGTTTGTTTATTTATTTGTTTTGTTTTATTTGTTAAATCTTTAATTTAATGGTTTGACATTTATACAGCTCCCCAGAGCAAAAGCATCAGGAGATTGAGAATTTAGCTGAGGAGGTCACTTATTTGCCATTTTTCATAAACACAAATAATTTCCTTTTTCCCTCAGCCACACATTCCCTGGCTCATTAAATCAATTTAAAGTCCTAAAAAAATTTTTTTTTTCCTCTGGCAAATTGAAGCAAAAGCTCAGTGTACTCCCCGGAGGAATGCTTACCCAAGTTCTGCAGGTCAGGCCAAAATCAGTTTCTCTCAAACAGCCTAACACCTCCAGTTATTATAAAATGAGGGATTCGTAATTGGGGGCTGGGCTCTGGACTTGCCTGAGAAAGGCTGCCTGCAGTGGCATAAGCCTCATTCCTGCTGTTTTGGTCTGTGTCCTGGCTTTGTTTTTTTGTTTGTTTGTTTGTTTGTTTTTTCCACCCACAGTGGAGAACTATGAAGAAGTCAAAACAGATTTCTATTGGGAATTCATGAATAAAGTTGGCTTTACGAATCCAGACGGTGAACGTGTATTCAGAATAAAGCCAGGAGGGCTTCCAGGCAGAGGCTTGGGAGAGTGCGGATAAAACAAACGTACACAGATCTCTGGGTCTAAGACCCTCCACAAGGCAGAGAATTCTGAGTAAACACAGGATTTCACCCCCAAGTCCCTTCCCTAAGATGCAGGGGTCATAGGAGATTTACCGGCTTGTTGACTATTGAACATGAGTTAGATAACAGAGGTCAGGAAATGAAGTGGAATTTGATATATTAACTAGGAAGCAGCAGAGGAAGCCAGGCTTGTGTTTGATTTGTTATTATTTCCCTAATATCCTCAATTATGCGATTCCCATCAGAGGATCTGATCTGTTGCTCCTGTAACGGTGTTGTCCCCGCTGGTTCCGGACGTGGGGAAGCAGGCAGTGAACCCCCTGCCCCCAGGCATCAGGAATAATGTTTGCTTTCTCTCTGTGTTGCCAGGCCTGTCCCAGGCTCTCTATCTTCTCTGCTACATCTCCACAACAGACAGAGACAGCCCATGCCAGCCTCCATGCCTGGGACCCTGCCCAACCCGACGATGCCGGGATCTTCTGCCGTCTTGATGCCAGTAAGTGCTTCTCACTTCCACTGAGCCTTGCTCTTTTGAAAACAGTAAAAGAAAAGCTGAGATCTAAGCTGGAAAGAAAGCGCCTTCTTCTGGATGAAAAGCTGAGCTGTGTGCTACTTTGCAGAGAGCGCTCGGTTGTCTGTCCCTCGGGGTCTGGCTGGCTTTCCCGGCCTTCAGTGCTCCCTTAGTGAGGCCTGACACCATCTTCTTGCTGGTGACAAGTGAGCTTGCTACACCCAGGGAATGGAATTCATTCAAGGACAGTGTTTTACGACTAGCCCAAAGTCTGTATAGCGTGGGCTATATACCAAGTGTCCTTAACTCACCAGGGAGTGGTCTTGCCAGGACTCAGAGTGACAAATATAATAACAAAAATAAGAACGATGGTACAGAATACCTGCTAATATGTGTCCCTGCATATCATAGTCTGTTAATCCTGCTCACAACGTCTATTGACTGCTTACCGTGTGCTAGTCCCTCTATAAGCACTTCCTCAACATGTGAAACAATCCCGTCAGGCACGTGCTATTTCTACCCCCCTGGTTTGAATGGGAGAAGTATGACAAGTAGCTTGCTTGGCTGAGAAGCAGCATAGCTGAGTTCTGAACCCAGGAATTCTGGCTCCAGAGCCCACTCGGTCAACCACTGTGTGATACCACTGTATTCTCTGCTTTCACTGTCACAACAAACCTGTGAGGGATACACTGTTTTTACCCCCATTTTACAGACGAGGAAGCTGAGGCACAGGAGGCCAAGTAACTTAGCTAATGTCGCAGTTAGTAGGTGATGGAGCGTAAGGATTTAAATTCAGGTGGCATGACTCAAGAGTCTACCTTCTAATCATTATGTAATACAGCCCCCCGCTCTGAAAACAACACATTAGCCTAGAAGGGACAGACAGGGTATTCCAGAGCAAACCTTGCTCTTCTTCCACAGGATCCACTCCCTGTGCTTCTTCATCCTCCCTGGCCTGTGCTTTGGGGAGCCTGGCTCGTGACCTTATTCTTGGGGCCACAGTTGTTCTCAGAAGTCCTAAGAGATGGTGTTTCAATTCAGGGAAAACCCTCCCAGAACAGTATCAACAATGCCTGGCAGAGCGTTTTCGCTTCTTAGGGAATTGTCTACATTTGTCACTTCGTGTCGCTGTCATCGGGATCCTGTGGGAATGGGATCCCGGTAATTACTGACACGCTTATTTTACAGATGAAAAGCTGAAGAGTAAGAAGTTGAAGGCAGCTGTCTAACGGCCCACAGCTGTGACAAACCCCACCTCAACTCACACTGAGCAGCTCAGATTCTCGAAGTTTGAGCAGTTTGCCGATTTATCTGAGTGGAGGCAGGGGTGGATGAGGGCTGGGAGGCCCAAGTTCAGAGAAATGGACCCGCCTACTATAAATAGTGGGTTGTCCTGGCTGGAAACAGTCTTTGCAAAATTGGGCCAGAAGGAACAGATGAGTTGACACACTTTCCCTGCCTTGCTCACCTTAAACATCTTCAGATGAGCTATGACAGTGCCACCAATGCCCCTTGCCCAGGTTTTATTCAACCCAGCCAGGCGCACGAAGACTCCCACCATAAGCTGTCTTCCTTTAGACGCTAAATCCCTCTGGTCCAAAATTAGTGTCCTTTCATAAATTCTATCCATTAGCCAGAAAAATACCACTTCAGTGCCTTTTTTTTCCCCATCTGATTGTATCATTTCCAGGGACAAAGATGGGACACGGGCTGAGACGGCCCGGTGAAAAAGTATCTGGCGCTGGTTTCCACCATCTCATCTCATTGTACAACTTGGCCTCCTGTTGATGCTTCAGAATAGAAGTAAAGGATCAGGTACATGATCAACGGCCAGTGTAGACAGAAAGTCCGGGATGCCACCCCTACAGGAGTTCCCCAACCCATGTCACTGACATGCACAGCTGCCGTGCCAAGTGTCAGTCTAAGAGCACTGAGTACAACTCGGGGCGATTGTTTGGCACTATCTGAAGATACTGTTGTTGGTTGTCACAGCTGAGGGAAGGCTGCTACTGGCCTCTGCGGGTAGAGGCCAAGGAAGCTGTTCAACATTCTATAATGCGCAGGATAGCCCCCACCAGAAACTAATTATTTGGGCCCTAGATATCAACAGTGCTGAGGTTGAGAAACCTTGGTTTAAAGTGACACGAATATAACTCATGAAAACTATCATAAAATCTCTAAAAAAAAAAAAAAAAAAGATACCCTAAGAGTTCCTGGTCCCAGAAATCTGGGCCTTTTCGTCCATGTTATCAAATCCCCTGCTCCTATGCTCAGATTCTGGCATTTTAAGCATAGTCTTCCCGTAGAATTCCCACCCTGGGGAACCATGATTCCCTTGGTATAAAAGATCAGTCTGTCTGTAGGTGGAGGTAATATTCTTAACTGATTTGCAGTGCATGCCGCCAGGCCACCCGTTTCACACGGTCCTAGGTCTGAAGCGAAATGATGTATTTGTTCATTCCACAAGCTTTGGTTGGGCACCTGCTCTGAGCCAAGCACTGCGCTGGATGTTGGGGGTGTGGTGAACAACAAGGAAAGATTTCATGGTGGTGTGATTTCCTATCTTGAAAGTCAAATGTTCACAAAATTTGGGAATATGAACACTCATTTATAATTACAAACTGAGCTGTAGAGATTTTAACTCCCGTTTTCTGATTTGTTTCAGAAGGAAAGGAGAAGCTCAAAAAAAGGTGAAATCCTTTACCTGGATGTTTTACCTGCAGTGCTAAATGTTGCTTAGTATTCAGCAAAACCACTTCAATCATCTGACTTCTTAATTCTAGGCACCTCACCAAAGACACTCGGGCAGAACCTTATTAGTATAAGCACCAAATCGTTGCCTTGCTGAGGCGCTTGCTGACCCCTTACGATCACTAAGATGGAAAAATGCAATTTTTTTAAAGTAGAGAAATCAGCCTGTTTTCAACATTCTGTTGAATTTGTGAGTCATGGAGTAGGAGTAGTCACAGACTGTAACTTTTCCACAGAGTGGGCAGCATGGCTGATTCTGGATCCCAAGGCTGCAAGTAAGCTGCTCGCCCTTCTCTGTAGCTCGTGATGGATAGCAGTGTGGAAACTTCCAGATAATCATTTGTACTTCTCAATGACCTTCCTTCAGGAAACTGAAAGCAAAAGCACATTTGGACTTGATTTCCCTCTAGGAGAAGGTTACCAGTTGGAATAAAGGGCCAAATGCCTTTCCAACCCTTCCATCTCCCAGCCTCTGGAAGGGGGAATTATAAGCAATAAGCATTTTGTGGCGCAATCTTCATGACTTAACAATTAGAGTACATGGACGTACTTCATAGCACTGAACTGTACACGGAAACCTAGTTACAGTGGGAAATTTTATGACACGCATATTTTACCAGAATTACAAAACAATAATAACAAATAAAATACCTAGGCTACCTGGAGACTCAGGGGGTATATGGGAGTGAACATTTTATTTTCCTGAATTGATAAGGCCCCAAAAGTCGTTGCCAGCAGGCTCTAGACTGTATAGAAGATTCTTCATCAAATGGCTCCTTTTGAAGCAGTTTCACACAAACATATACTCTTTTAGGCTAAGGGACGGCCGAGGGTGCTTTGCTATGACAGGGACCGTCCACCCGTCACTCGTGTCATTTTGTGAGCACCTCTGCTAACCCACACATTAATGTCATAATTGCAGTCCCGCGCCTGGGGTGGACCCAGCAGGGGTGCAGGGATGGAACCCGACCATGGCAGGGACCCTAAAGGGACATTTACCTCGGCTTTCCCTCACCATTCCCGCCAGTGAGGTTTCTGTCCTCCGCTCTGGGAAGAGCTCCAGTGATAAAGAACTCTGTATTTTTTTCCTCAGACTCCCCAGGCTAGCTTTGAGCAGAAAGCAGATTCCCTCAAGTTTCTGATCCGTTTTCATTTCCATCCTTCAGCAAGGGGATCAACTTTTGCATTGAAGAATTTATTTTTTCCTCTTGACGAAAGTCTTCTGTGTGATTTAGTATTAAGTGTACTTGCTTTATTCTAGTTCTTTGGAACATGCTAAATTTCTACTCAACAGAAAATAGCAATCACACATACCCTTCCTTGATTGAAAGAGAGGTTTTACTGTATTTCCTTTTTAACAGGGACACCCTGGAGACAAAAATGCCAGAACTCATGCAGGTATTTGAAATGATGTTAATTCTAGACACAGTGGCAGGCCAGCAGGACAGTGTCCATCAGGTGTGGTACAGTGCCCTCACCTGCTTTCTTCACCCCCCCCCAAAGGTCTAGCCCTCTGCCGTGAGGCCAAAACTGGCTGCTGTGTCGTGTCCTGACTAGGTTAACTGGGAAGGGGAGATCTACCAGGGGTGGCAGCTCAAATACCTCTTGGTCACCTTTTTTTTTTTTTTTTTAAGATTTTATTTATTTATTTGTCAGAGAGTGTGAGAGAGAGATGAGAGAGCTGGGAGAGGGAGAAGCAGGCTTCCTGCTGAGCAGGGAGCCCGATGCGGGGCTCGATTCCAGGACCCTGGGATCATGACCTGAGCCGAAGGCAGACACTTAACGACTGAGCCACCCAGCGCCCCGCTATTGGTCATCTTGATTGTGTTTATAAGTTACAGTGGCAAGAAGACCCAGCATATTCGAGAGCATTACTTTTTTAAGTTAATTTAATGTTTTCCTTATTGCTAAAATGATTCATGTTTTTGTATAAAACTTAGGGGGAAAAAAAGCCATGGATAACCTGAAATAACCATTTGGTATATATCCTTCCAGCACTTTTCTAGGCATACATTATTCTTTACAGTTATAAAAAGAAGCATGACTCGTGGCAGTTGGAGTGTTTGCAAAAGTGGAAATATTCCATACTTTTGTTTGCAAATGAACCATGACAACGTGGCTCTCGTTGGCATAGGGCATCTCCTATAGCATGCACGGCTTTGGATTAATTCTTTGATGTCCTGGAGTTCAAGGCTCAGAGTGTGTTACTTACCACTTCCCCAAACCACAGTCTTTCTCCAGAGTTATTCAAAGAAATTCTAAATGACCCACTTGAAAGAGAAATGCAGCTTTGTCTGTGACCTAGACTGCTTTTCGTAGACTTCTGATTCTGTTGCTTTCCTTTCTCTTAGATGGAGAGACAGATGTCAGTGAACTCCAGCCTCCTGGGAATGCAAGGTCCAAATCTCAGCAACCCCTGTGCTTCTCCCCAGGTCCAGCCAATGCATTCAGAAGCCAAAATGGTAAATAACAATTATAATCATCCTTTTGTTATTTTGTGACTTTTTCTTTTGATTTCTACTCTGACTTCCAAATTTCAGTTGAGTCAGGTAGATGGCTCCGTCGTTGTTTTGGTGAATAGGTCTTTTCTGTGGAAAGGCAGTACAGAACTTGGCTCTCTCTTTGAGGATATTTGTTATTGAACCTTGGCATCAGATGACCATGAAATAAGCATTGGATCAGCTTCAGCGGAAGGGACATTTAGGAGTTTGGGGAGATCCATAGGCGTTCAGATGGGATACACCCAAGTAGGTGTACATTTTCTCAAAATGTGAAATTAACAAAAACAATCCAGAGTTTCTCTTCTTCAAGGTGGTCACAGTTTCAGTGTCACTTGTCCTGTCCACATATCCGTGAAAACAGACATGTGATTTTTAAGCACACACTAGCACGGAAATATTTTTCATTTTTTGTTATAGTTGTCAGATGTGACACTAATTCAAAGAATCACAGCCTTGTTTTCATGCAGGGTAATTCCACCTCTTACTGAAATACGTGATTTCAGGTGACAACCTTCAGTGACTTTTAACCTTTGAGATTTATGTGCAGTCAGTTCAGTCTTTCCCATCACAGTGAAAGATTTATGCATTATATCCTATTAAATATTAATAAAAGCAATGCATGTCCATCTTTGCTTATTGTATTTAGCAGAGTTACTTGAGGTGGGTCGTTGGGTTTTCATGTATTTAAATTCTGGCACCACAGTTAGTCAGGTATCAGATGGCAACAAAATATACTGTAGCATGGTCTGATATTGGATCAGGGTAGCTTTGCTACAATTTGGGGATTTATTTGGTTTCCTGACTGACAGTGTTGGGGACTGTGTCTGGTGGCTGGTATGAGGATGTTTTTGACGCTTCTGAAAATCAGCCACCAAAACCAGTTGACTTCATTTTCAATGGCAGCAAGTTTTTTTGACGCCTGCTTTGGTCACTTTCTCTTGGAAATTTTACTCATTTGTCTTTCAGCTCCTTGATTCAAGGAAGCGCCTGAATTCCCAGTGTTGGCTACCTTGGGCAAATAAAATCTGTGGTTAAGAGAGTTCTCTTTGCCGTGCCACAGTCCCCGTGACATGCCAGATGGCACCGGCATCTTCAGCAAAGCTCGTTAAATCTTTTTGGAATCGGCAAATATTTTTTCAACTCAAGCCCTGCAGAGCCAAACCAAATACTTGCTGGCAGAGTGAAGTTCAAATTGGCATCTATTTTGGAGACCAGAGTAATGCCGTTTACTTTTTTTTTTTTTTAAGGAAAATAAAAAATTAACTGTGAAGGTACTTAAGAAAAAAACAAAATTAAGTTATGCATGTGTATGAATAAGTGTTCTGGGTCTGAGCATCAGATGCTACTCCCCCAGCTGGATTATTTCTGAATCATCTTGTTTGGTTTGGGGTCTGTATCCCTTTTGAGGGACCTCCCAGACAAACTTTAGGTGGATTCTTACACGCAGTTCCAAACCAGATTTCCCTGCCAACTGATTTTCACGGGATTATATGCCACCCCTTGACTCAGAAATGTCCTACCTCCCCTCTTCTTACTGGCAAAGGAGAACGCTTCCAAAGGGAGTACAGGTTTATAATTATTTATATGTATGAAAGAAAAACATATGATATGGCCAACTATTGTGAATAATACCAACTGGAGGCAAAAGGAAATTGGTCTGGACCTATAAAATCATGTGACCCCACAAATGTTTGTCAAGTTAAATTTACTGAGCAAGCACACAACTCTGCTGATTCATGCTCTGGGTGGATGGATGAATATTTCCAGATCCATGATGTCTGAGCTAATGAACTCTATCTTGGAGTTAGGGCTTAGGGAGCATAGTTATTCTGTCTGTCCCAGGCTCCCACCCCTGACACCATTATTGCCAATCCGTTATTCCAAGGGAGAAAATGGAGGTATTGGCCACTTACATTTTGGAGAAATAGCATTTACTTAGTAGCCTGGAAAAGTGTTTAGTAATTGGCTTTTAATACATTACTCAGCATTTCTATTCTCATTCCGTTTGTTTTATTCACTGGAGAAATCAGTTATTGCCATCTACTAACTGTACAGTATTTTCTAGCAGCTTTGGACTGCTCAGATGAAAAGCTTTTACGAAATACAAAGTGATGGAGAAAAAAAAAATCTTCCATGATTTTAATGTCAGCCAGAGCCTCCCCAGGTTTCTCTGAACTATGGGCTTTGTTGTTCTATGCCTAATTTTCTTCCTGTGTAAGACTGGAATGGATTCCAGATTTCAACTAAGACTCCTGTTTCACTGTTTTCAAGGACTTTCCCAAAGGTCACACATGGGCTATTGTGATGAATGCACTCTGCGGGGTGTGTTCTCAGAGCACACGAGAAACCAGAGAGCTGCCAGGGAGGGTGTCGCCCACACCACAGCACTGCAGACCTATTCTCCTGGGGACATTGGTGTCAGAGTGTCTATTTCACACTCTCTATTGACCACTGACAAAAGCCATCATCCTGCATCTCTGGTGAAACTTGGAGGTCTTGGAGGTGGACAAAAGCTTAAGCCAGGATTGCTTTAACTGTACAGCTTTGTTAGAAGCTGTTCGACTAGTGATCGCTCAGTAGGATGCATCCATCTTTCTTGCCACAGATTGGTCATTTCTATTGTGGAAGAGAGCAAAATAGCTGTCCCCAATAAGCTGTACAGTGTATTAATCCGGGATATCCAAATCAAGTAGCACAGTGCTCTTCTTTTGATTTAATGTATATGGACATCAAGCGGTGGACTTCAGTGTACTGAAGTCACATCTGTCTGAGCCGGTTCTGTCATAATTCTGGCAGATTATAATTGAGTTTTATGGATTCTTTTTTTTTCTGAAGAATTAAGCCAACAAACATAGGGCTTCATGATTATACAAGTGAATATATGCATATTGGATTTTGTTTTGGAGGTCAAAGCAGACTCAGAGCTGTGAGAGATTTCCATCCTTCTAACCACCCAAAACAATGGGTTCTTCCTCCCAGATTCTTGGGATTGGTGGGCATCTTCCATGAAAATGGGGTCTGCTAGAAAGGAAGTTCACTGGATACTGATGGACATTTTTGACATGCAAAGGGGAAAGGGAGAAAATGAGGGGGATAAGCAGACAAAAATGGAAAAGGGGAGGAAGAAGGAGACAGAGAGGGTAAGGGAATTTAAACCAGACTGTGACACATTTCTAGCCTCTCGTGGGCATGAGCAATTCTGTAGTGGTGTGGATGTGGTATCTTCAGAGTTACATAGATTTGTGTTCATTTCTATCTAGCTTTAAAAGAGGTTTTCCTTTTTCTTTCTTTTTTTTTTTCAGGCCAGTAATAGGGTTGGAAGCTAAATGGGGCGGGGGGGGGGGGAACTTGTCCGTACACCTGTCTTGTGTCTCAGTAATGTTGAGATGATTATCATACTGAAACCAACTAAAATGAAGGATGGCATATGAACAACTTTCCAGAGAGGGCTGGGGAGGCTCTGCCCAGGATTCACCTTCAATTTAGACAGAGTTAAGGAAGCAAAGAGAGTGTTGATACTAAGAAGAAGGTACGTACACCTGAGACCTGATTTTGCCCTCAGGACAGCGCTGTGACAGGGCTGTTGTCCCCATTTTATAGTTGAGACAACTGAAGCTCCTAGAGGTTAAAAAACTGGCCCAACGATGCATCACATAGCAAAGGCTAACATCCCAGACTCCACCGACAAATCTTTTTCATCACAATATTGATCCTTTAGATAAAAATATCATACAGCTTCCAGATAACAGCAACCAGCAGATTATATCAAATTCTTCAGGGTTTGTTTATATTTACAAAAAAATGGGAGCTAAGGATGGCAAGGACCTCCCGTTTAGGGGTTTAGACCTCCAGATAACCTGGAAAAGATGAGGGGTGGTTGCTAGTACCAAATGTCCCCCTTGATTTAACCAGAGCTCTGTGGCCTCCCTGACTGAGCTTCACTGCCTCTCTCTCCAAACACATTTTTATCTTGATGTTTCTTATTTTACATGTGTGTCTCCGCCCCCCCCCCCCCACTCGATTGATTGGGAGCTCCTTGAAGATAATCCTTGCATCATGGAAGTTCCTTGTACTAAGAAAGGCCCCATGAATGAGAGCTGAATTTAAGTAGTTGAGTTGAGTTGAATTAAAATGAGAAGGAACCAAACAGTAGCAGTGGAAGTGGGGGTGGGATGGAGTGAGTAAGGGGCAAGGGTAGGGCTCAGAAGGAGAGAATTAAACGAGATAAATGCTAAGCTAAGTAATCAACTAAGAAAGAGTATTTGACTACATTTGATTTCTTCGAAGGATATCTGGAAACAATATCTGGCATGTTTTGTTTTGTTTTCTTCCTTGAGAGAAAAGCAATATATCTCTTACTTAGAAAATAGAAGTTGGAATAACATTGACCTCCTAGGAATTGAGAAGGATCAATACTAAATGCTGTTTCTTCCACTGTGATAGGCTAACTGTGCTGTATTTCACTTGTTGACTTGTCAATACCTCATTTATAGTTAGGTTTACAATTTATTGAATAGGTATATAAATATGTGCATTAATGAGTGAAACAAAAAAATTGGAAAGTCAAAGGCTTTTAGAGGTAGAACGTACTTAGTGAAGACCTTGCCCAAATTCCTCATTTCACAAGTGAGGACACCAGAGGCAACTAAACACTTAGGGAAATCAAGCCATCATTTCAACACAAAGCCGGGCCCCCGGTTCAGACCGTCACGTTTCTACCCAGCATGATGCTTTTTTCATCAGCTGTACTGATAAATTACTAACAGTGCTTCTTTTCTTGGCCCCTGGTTTTCTGCTGGCAGATGGGTAGACAAGAACTAGGATGGTATAGTGCGCAATCCGTGGTTAAATCTCCACTTTGTTTTGAATGTCAACCTGGGTGTGTTTGTGTTTGCCTTTCCCCTCCCTAATTATCGAGCTGGATAACTGTTTGCCTACAGTGCCCCTTGGCCACCCACTGT